TGTTTTTATATTTTGTTTCTTTGTTTTGTTTTGTATTTTTGTATCGTTTCTTTTGTATTTTTCTCTTTATATTTTTTTTGTACAAAAATTTTTCATTTAGTATATCAAGGAAAAGTGTTTTTATTTGAGGCAGCCTTTTTTTTGTTTTCGTCATGCCTATGTTTGTTTGTATACGTATTTTATATCTTTGTTAATGTTGTTTGTCTATTTTTGTTTGTTTTTATATGTAATTTATATCTAAGTTAATATTGTTTGTCTTTGTTTGTTTGTATATGTATTTTATATCTTTGTTAATGTTGTCTATGTTTGTTTGTTTGTATATTTTGTTTAAACCTGAAGTCTTTGTTTATATTGAAAAGTAATATTTCTTTGTCATTTTTTATCATTTTCAAATATTCATTCAATTATTCATTCATTTAATAGTTATCCGTCCATTTATTCATTCATTCTTCTTATTCTACTTTAACTTATTCACTCTCTCAATCATTTCTTTCATTCATCCATGCGTACGTACACTCATTCATTCGTTCATTTGTTCATTCATTCTTTTGTTCGTTTGTACGGTTGTTCATCTATTCATTCTTTCATTCATTTTCTCACTCGTTTTCATTCTTTCTTTCATTTATTCGCTCATTCATTCATTCATCTATAATTATCAATATATATATATATATATATATATATATATGTATATATATAAAATAGTTTGAAACAATGTAGCAATGTATAGGATATATAAGATTTCAATACATACCGAATTGCTGGTAGGCTGGTATGTGTAGGTGTTGATGTTGTTGTTTTTGATGTAATTAGTGTAGATCCTTGGGTTGTTAATGTCGCGATTGCTGTCGCTTTTGCTGCTTCTGCTGCTGCTGCTAATGACGTCATTGCTGAGGTAATTGTTGTCATTTAGTGGGATATCTTCTTCATTGGGCTTGACGTCATTTTGATGTTTGCAGATTGGCGTTGAGTCCCACATTTGAATGTTTTGTCGTTGTTGTTGTTGTGGATGTTGTTGTTGTTGATGTTGTTGTTGTTGTAGATGTTGATGCTGCTGTTGTTTATGGCTATATCGCTTCCGCCTTTGAAATTTTCTTTGCTGAATTTTTTCTTCATGTCGTTGTTCGTTTTGATTTTTTAGTCGGTTGATTTGAGTTTGTTGTTGTTGTAGTAGTAGTTGTTGATGTTGTTGTTGCTGATGTTGTTGTTGATGTTGCTGCTGTTGTTGATGTTGTTGCTTTTTTGCAGTAAGTAGTTTAGAATTATGCGCTATTTCAGTCTCATGTCGTTTCCCTTTAAATTTAATTCCATCGTATTTTTTCCCGGGCAATATTTTATCGACATCATTACTATTACCGCCGCTTTTGTTGTTGTTGTTGCTGCTAACGATGTTGTTGTTAATGTTGTTGTTGTTGTTGATGTTGTTGTTGTTGTTTAGAATCAAGTTGAACCCGGTTATATTAGCCCCGCCGAATATAAAATACGTTAGATCAATCTCGTCCATCCACTTGACAGAGAGAAAAAAAAGAATTTTGAAATTTAAAAAAAACAATTCGATTTACTGCTTTTTTATTTAAATTTGCCCTTAAAAATACGTTAAATAAACAGTATCTAATTAGTTAATTGGTTAATTAATTGGTTAAATACTTGATTAATTAATTAATTAATTAATTAATTAAAATGAAAAATAACCAGTCCGCCGATGCAATAGTGATACAAATCTCTGTTCATACCGACTCGTTGAATCTGCAGGTTGTGATTTTATTTTTCAGAATTTTATTTTGTCTTAATTTAAGTTTCGTTTTAGAATAATAACAATATAAAACAACTTAAAACAAAAACATGAAAACAGACAAACAAACAAACAAACAAACGAACGAACGAACGAACGACCAGCAACAACCCACCTGCAACAACATCAGCTGGACGTCACGCGCACTCTCAAGGTCGATCACAAATTTTTTAACCTTGACATTGACGTCTGCGTCAAGGTGACGTAATAACTTATATGACGTCATTATGTCGGTCACGTGAACGGGTCTGACCAGTAGGGAGAGGTTATTTAGGAGGGCCAAGCGTTGCAGGCGGATTGATCTGTATAAAGCTGCAAATTTGTAGTAAAAAGTGATGTTGATGATAACGATGATGACGATGATGATGGCGATGATGATGATAATGGTGATGACGAAGAATGAGAGAAGAATGAAAAGCAAAAAAGAAATTCAAATAAATTAGCGACAATAATAATTAGAAAATGTAAGAACATCAAAGGATGCAGTTTTCGGCACGCTCGAACATGAAATGTGATAATGAATGAATGAATGAATAAATGAATGAATGATTGATTGATTTAATGAATGCATGAAAAAATGAATGAATGAGAGAATGAATGAATGAATGAAAGATGATGATGATTAATGGAATACTGATCACGGCAATCTTGAGAGTATTCGTCAATAACAGCTGAGCCGTATCAGCAAGAGCAATGAAAAAGGAAGACGACGATGATGATAATGATGATAGGGATGGTGGTAATAGCAGTGATGATGTAGTGATGACGGCGACAATGATGATTTTCTCAACAGTATGCAATGATGATGCTGATTGCGCTCATTGGGGTACAATCATTTTAAGATGATAACAAAATGAGTACAACAGCTCGGTGGTGATGATGATGGCAGTAGTTGGAAGTGTAGGAAGTTTTTCCTTACAAGATTCTCAGCATGCAAGAACACGCTTCGATACGTGTCCAGCAAGTCCTTTGAAAATATCTACTTCAACTACTACTATTACTATTACCACCACCACCACTACTACTACTACTACTACTTCTACTACTACTACTACTACTACTACTACTACTACTACTACTACTACTACTACTACTACTACTACTACTACTATTGCTACTTCTGCTGCTTCTGCCTGCTGCTAAGTGGTAAGTGTGCAGTAACAGTAATAGAAGTAGCAGCAGCAGCAGTAGTAGTAGTAGTAATAGTAATTCAATGTAGTGTTGATAATGATAGATTGATAAAAAATTACCTTCTTATTCAATCAATTGTGGGCCCAGTAGTCTAAAAGACCGTGGTAGAAAGAGACTTTCTCGATTATTGTTGTTGTTATTATTGTTGTTATTATTGTTTTTAGTGTTGTTATTATTATTGTTGTTGTTGTTATTGTTATTGTTGTTGTTGTTATTGTTATTGTTGTTGTTGTTATTGTTGTTTTTATTGTTATTGTTGTTGTTGTGATTTTTTGCTCGTAAAGGCTTGAAAGAAGACGACATAGAAGCCATGATTGGGTAGGAAAATGGAAAATAAAATGGCGGGTGATTGGATAGAAAGATTGGCAAAAAATGAATGAATGCATGAATGAATGAATGAATGAATGAATGAATGAATGAATGAATGAATGAATGAATGAATGAATGAATGAATGAATGAATGAATAAATGAATGAATGAATGAATGAATGAATGAATGAATGAATGAATGAATGAATGAATGAATGAATGAATGAATGAATGAATGAATGAATGAATGAATGAATGAATGAATGAATGAATGAATGAATGAATGAATGAATGAATGAATGAATGAATGAATGAATGAATGAATGAATGAATGAATGAATGAAA